TAGCAACCTTATAGGAATGCTCACAGCTGCCACGCAGACAAATTCGACGACGCAACCGAAAACTACACGCAGTATGTCTTGCTCAACGGCAAGCAGGTCTCGACGCTCTCGACAAGTGATGGGCACGCAATGGGCTGGGGCAGCGCTGCGGAGTGTGCGGAAACCAACTGCGGCACCGTCCCTGCTCACTCGTGGATCAACACAACTATTATCTTGAATTCGGCAGATCCGAACTACAAGAATACGATGGGGAAGGGTCAAGGTGTCACGGGTGATATGTCGACCAGCGATGGCGGGAAGACGTGGACCGTCAGCACGATTCAGATTCCACAGTTCACCTTTTGAAAGGAGTGTTCAAGACGATAATAAATGCATTAAGTGCAATAACTATATTACCAGATCTAGGGTGCTATTCTCCAGAGCACTATTGATCCTTTTATGCCATAGATTCTGGTTCCTAAAAAGCTGAAGAGCTAGTGCTCGGGGGGTAGGAGGATACACGCAAAGAGCAGGCGGTACGGAAAGTGAAACGCGAAGACAGGGGTTGAGCGCTCTTACCAGACGCCCTCTGCGTTCATGAACGATATGTACTAAACAGGCGCCAGTTCATTAACGCAGTTCTACATTCAAGACGCGTTCGACCCCCGATTCTCGCTCCCCGTTCTCCCGGCCTCGTACATTCAACCCTATGGAGCCCTTCCTAGGTCCAACATGATCCACGATCCACGACTCCGGATTCAGAGGCTCTAAGAATTTTGTTTTGTATTCGTCAGAATCAAGGATTGACTCGGTGTCAGGAGGATCCCCAAAATCTGGTGGCCAGTACAGTAAGAGGTGGCCGCTGGATACGAACTCCTCATCATAGAAGCCTGTAGAGTAGGCAAACTCTCCGATCTCAGGGAAGAAGCTGAGCGGAATGATGCAGAGGCATTTTCAACGAGCTTTTTCTTCTTGTTCTTCTCGTTCTCCTTTCGCGTCTCTTCTTCCGTCACGGCCTAGCCTGGAGCGTAGCCGATTCTGCTAAACCATCGCAGATTCCTGGGTGGAAGCAGCGGGTGCAATGTAACACTGTGCATTCGCGGAGTCAAACAAGACTACGATAACTGGGATATGGAAGGTTGGAGCGGGGAAGACATGATTGCGTACGTGGAAAAGCTAAGTTCGCGGAAAGTGACCACGCAATCTGGGAATGCTTCACTAACGACCCTCTTTAAGTGGAGACGCTCAGGAACAAAGACTGGTTTCGGGTGGATACACCCGGGCATGATGGGAACGGCCCAGGTATTACGGCACCTCACGATCCTGCACCTATCCCTGGCCTCGTCTTAGAGTCCTTCCAGTCCCAGGGCCTGCCCCTGAAGCCAGACGTGTTTACTACTGGTGAAAGCCTGCATGGCTGCGGGCATTAGGTTAGAACTATATATGAGGGTGTCCGTACTTGCGCGGCGGACTATCTCCGGGACGGTGGATATCCTTCCAGGGTTCGACATTTGTACGGGTCAGCATGTGGATAAGGTGTTGATCGCCAACTCCGATGGCACTCTTCGAGCTTCTGCCGTGCAGGCGCGGGGTGTAGAGGGCACGGAGGCCGTCTATCAAGCTAAGAAGGAAGACATACTCACAGCCGGTGCTTATGGAAGCCCAGCTATTCTTCTTCGATCTGGAGTTTGTCAGGCAGTCGAACTGACGGAACTCGGAATCGAGACCATATCGGATCTCCCAGGCGTGGGAAAGACTCTCCAGAGCCACTTGGTAAGGCCTCTCTCTTCCAGGAGCACGCTACACAGCCATAAGGAGTGCTGAAAGTGCTGCGTTAGGTTATGATCAGACTCTACGAAGTCTGAAGCAAGGACTCACCAATCATCACCTGATCTGGCACCCCAGAGGGCGCGAGAAGACAGCGAAACAGTACAAGGGCTCCCACACGGGCTTCTTCTCCCAGTTCCCTTTCGGCGTCTTTGCATGTGAACTCCTCGACGACCGCTTGAAAGACGCGGAGCTCTGGCAGCAAGCCCTTACTGACTCCGCCCAAATTTCCGCTCGCGACCCGATGGGCACTCTGAAAACCCAGCCACACGTCAAGGTCTGGAATACCGAATGCTACAGCCCGAAGTACATGTTCAAAGATTTTCCACGAGCAGGAAAGTACGCCTTCGCAATGGCGACCACGTTCTTCTCGCCCCGATCGTGCGGCAAGGTGACGTTGCATTCCACGGATCCCCAGGCCAATCCGAAGGTGCAGCATAACTACCTCAGCGACCATGGTTTCGTTTAGCGAAGAAGGTAGGTTCTCCAACGAGATCGCTCTCAATGGAGCTGGAACAAAGGACATAATCGTCAGATCGTGGCCCGCTGTCCATGGCCATGATAAGTTCACCACCCGAGAGCAGTAGCAGGAGGCGATTCGCCAGCGAGCTGATACTTGTGAGTGACATGATGAAGCACTGTGCTACACATTTTTAACTCCGCATAGGTAATCCTCCCGGCGGTTGCAAGATGGGAAAGGCTGACGATGAGATGGCGTTCGTGGATGCACAACTTCGCATGAAAGGAATATATGGCTTGAGGGTTGCTGATGCGAGCATTATGCCTTCCTTGTGCCATAGTGTGCCGAAATTACTGCCGCATGTTAGTCTCACACTTGATGAGACCAGTCTGTGGGCCAGGTGCATAAACACCCTGAAGCCCTCCTTGAATATATTGAGATATCGATCCCCAGCTCGAGATAATGCTCACTGCGTCAGCTCATACATAAGGAGACCAGAACGCATATAACTGCAAGATGTCAAAATTGAACGTGCTCTTATGAAAATAGCTCTGTGAGAAATAGTAGTACCCAGGCATATTCGATCCGATACGGCTCCAACATTTGCTCGATCCAGTCACTCCAGTCATCCTTCCATGCTCCGCACCCGAAAAGCGCTCTTGAGTACTCCCAGTAGCTTGGATACCATCCAGCAAACTCCCAGTCGATGATCACGAGCTCTAGGTCTGTCGAGGCCCACTGGACTAGGCCATTCTCTGTTGTTGCCGGAGGCTTCCGGAACATGACGTTCTTCCGCTGGAAGTCCGCATGCGTGAAGACTGGAGCGTGGTTCTGGAAGACATCCTTGAAGGCGCGCGAGAAGTGCTGCGTCTTGTGTTTAGAATGGCCTTCACTGGCGTATCTAGCGATCATAGCCTCATTCAGATCTGACTCGGTATCGAATGGTCCATTGAATGACGTTGAATCGTCCCCAGAGTCGAAAAGTGAATCCGTCAATCCACGACGACCAAAGCCGCAGTAACCTCCAGGTGATTCCAACCTCCGCATCTCTTCGAAGACATGGCGGAGCTTCGACGCCACTGCCTCTTTTTCCGTTTGACCAATTCTCAACCAAACAGAAGCCAGGGTGGGACCTCTGATGCGCTCCATAACGATATAGCTGTATGTGTCGTTGTCGGGTCCTGGCTTCTGGTACAACGCATAGATACGGGGTACAGGAACGGTTGATGAGTGTTGGAGGAAAAGCATAGTCTGCCCCTCTTGTAAATTGACAAATGCGCCATATTTGACAATGAAGTGGTCGCCAACTCCGACGACTTTGCCGGACGCCCCCGACATACGCTCATTGAGGATTTCTGTCGCAGATTCGATCTCTTCCGCCGTGGGCAACGTAGCAGGAAGGCTGGCTTCGTCGGCAAAGTATGGTAGGGTGAAAGAGGCCACCATAGCGGCTGTCGAAAAAAGCTAAGGCGTGAAATTGGCGCGATTGATGGTTTTGTGGTTGGGATATTTCCGACGCTATTTATAGACACCGCACGAGCCACAATGCCAAGACCGGTACGACAGACACATAGGGCAACCCGCGCCATGTCCACCTGCTGACCAACAGTCTCGACAGCCGCAACTCCTTCATGCTGGACATGTACATTAGAGATAAATCTGTTGAGAAGATCAGTGGTCAAATGTTCCGCTCTAAAACCCTTAGATCCAAAAGAAGCGCCATTCAGTATGCTAACCTTCACTTCAACCTCGTCTTCCAAGGTTTCCGTCGAGACCTTTCCAAGCATTGGGTCATAATGACTTCGCTACCTCCTGCGCTGTGCCTCTTACTCAATGTCAGGTCTGAGTAATCCCATTCGCAACTGTTACGAAACCTTACTTTGGCGCGCGCGATAAAGCATAGTTGCCTGCGGCACAGCACGCCGACCGCAGCACACTCTCGATGTACCAAGCCGCAGTGCGGATGACAAAGTTCATCTATGAGCCTGAAGCAGACGCAAATAGCGCTTCCTGGCGGCAACTCGAACATCTTCCTGTGCCAGTTTGAGTATTATCATTACTTTCACTGGCTACGATCATATGAACCTCGGACTGTAGTTTTATATGCCCACATTTATCGAATCCTGGCGGTTGGATGCAATGTCATCAGCGGTAAAAGAAGGACCGAGAGAGCTCAAGAACGAATATAAAAGCCTTCGAAACTGTGTAACACTGAATTAAAGCAAACACAATTCTCGGAACATTACACTCAAGACTCGTACATTTATCGCCGCCGCAGCATTCCCCATCCGTAAAGTCTGCTACCATTTTTCCACATTGTCGAAAGCTAATATAATCCAACTCCAATACCACTTTTTCGCCTTTCTCGTCGCCTTTATCATGTCGTACAACGTGTACCTCAGAGAACATGTCGGTGGAGCCCGTAACCACCACATCATCTTCGTCCAAACCGAATCAAACGGAGGTGGATTTATTTTCCAGGTTGCTGGAAACATTCAGCAAGGGATGGCGTTCGACCACAAGGGGGCCAAGCCCGCTGAAGAATCAGAGACCTGCCTTGGTCAGGAGAAGATCGGGACGGTCACGAAAGCCAATTTCGATAGAATCCAATCTATCGTCGAGACGCTACCACCACCACCCAAACAATTCAACGGACCGAAACGCATCAATCTAAGTGTACCCCTCTGACGCTGCCAGGAATGGACCGCCGATGCGATTCAACTGTTGAAAGATGAAGGTGTCTTGGAGACTTAGGATGCTGGTGATAGCAATGGGTCTCAATTTCTGGATAGATTGTCGCGCTTTGCGTATCATGTACATGTACTCATTCGAATTTTAAATTGTAGTTCTCGGTATCTAAAGTCTAAACCGACAATTTGTTGCCATGCAACACTTGAAGTTCACGAGCCTGTTAGTTCCAACGAACTGTGGATATGTGAAGGCACCAAGCACTAGTTTTGATATAAAAGGCATGGATGCGAAGATCATATGCTCTGTTTCGTCATTCACTTGTTGTGGTGCTGCGTGAGATTGTTGTGTGGGCCCATTTTCTTCGTAAGATGAACCCCTCACTTGTCAGCCACATTACCAGGATACCCAAAAACGGGAAGTCACTTCACAGATGATGATCACAAGCCAAAATAGATCTAGTTATTCAAGCACTGGTATCTAATATAACCCAAGGCCATGCAGTCTCTATCCATTTCTTTTTGTAAGCTGACCGGAGATGTTTGTATCAAGAGAGTTATATTATGTAGAATTTGGCAGTGGAACAGACAGGGTTGTCAAGACTCTACAAACCGGCGACCACGCGATCCGCGCGAATAGATCTACCGTACCACTCTCAAGTACCACATGCTGTATAACACTAGGTCCAGATTACATGGTGGCTAAGCAAGCCAGCAGCCATGAAGAGATTGCACTGTCCCTAGATGTCGAAAGCAAAGCAGGATACAAAATATACGCTCGTATTCGAACACCTCTAATCAACCCTTCACCAGTACCCCCAAACTCAGTCTCTCTATCCCTATATCCATCCGTCCCTCTATCCGTCAAGCCTGAGGTTGCTGGTCTTGCTGTCTGTACCAAGCATAACTTGCCGGGCTTAACTTCGAATTGGACACGCGCTCCCGCTTTTGCTTCTCCTTGACGTCCTGCTTCTCGACCTGCGGAGACCGAGATCAAGTGCGGTCCCTATCTTTATCCATATCCTTGTTTTTGTCCAGCTCGGCAGTCTCTTTCTCCTCTTCTCCATGTTCAGAGGCTTCTTCCTGCACAGTCTGCAAACGGCGATACTTGCGCTCATCAAATCGCGACGGCTTGACATCTTCAAAGGAGCCGAAGGAGCCGGACACGGACTTGGGGCTTGATAGAGTATCGGCCGTGATAGGTCTGGGCCTTCAGTCGCGGCTTTACCTTTGCGAGTTCGTCGTCAGAGTCCTGCATCATGCCGAAGTCTTTGTCTTTAGATTGACGGGGCGCATTGCTGGGGTCGGAATGCGAATAGCTGCGATTAGCCTGTGGTGTAGGGTGTGCGGGAAGTCGAGCGGAAAGTCGAGCGGGAAGGGGTCGAGCGAATGCGCCCCGGGGGTCGACGCCAGCGGATCCGCGGCGGTAGATAGTGTCGTTGGGTTCGCGGGTACAGTAGCCTAGCTGACTGCCTGCTGAGGTCGGAATCGGATCGCGGCGCCGGGCGTTGGTCAGTAAAGAGGGAAGAGGAGAGCCAGGAGGCGTTGCGCCGATAGCAGCAGTGGAAAATTGGCCAAGGCGAGTGGTAGACGGATACTCAAAGACGTTGCGAACGCGGTCTACATCGGGGGTCATGCCTTCGAGTTGAGGGCGAGAGCCGGATATGACCGCATTTAGATAAAGTTGAGGGTGTTCTAGATCAGGGCGAGAGCCGGGGAAGACTGCGTGCGGGGTGCCACCGAAGGAAGCCGGACCATGGCGCCAGAGCCAAAAACCGTGCCGACCGATATTTGCGGAGACGGGTTCTTGTTGAGCTGCTCCTTCACGAGACTGGAGTTGGACGTTGCAATGGTGTCAGAGGCTGAGGCATCGTGGTTGTCTTGCAAGCGAGTCCGGTGACGAAGGATTTCGGTCCGCCGCCGTTGCGTTGGTATCTATCGCGTGCAATAATCCGTAGAAATCTTGGCGACATCCGAAAATTCGCGCGCGCGCGGAAAAACCTATCCAAAATCTAGAAATTCGTAAATTAATTAATAACGCTGTAATTAATTGTTATATAACGTACTTTACCAGCGAACGCCCCACACCACCGAACGCCCCAAAAATGCCAAGCCCCCACCAAATGCCACCATCTTATTCAGATTGCTCCGACTCCGAGCTGCTTGAGATAAATCTGGATAAGCTATCCGACTCATCTGTATCGTCTTCAACTACCTGGCACGTTCGCGCGTTGTGCCCTGGCTCACCGCAGCGTCCACAGCGTCGCTGAGCTGGCTGGCCGTCGCGTGCCACCACCCCTTCGCGCCGCTTCTTGCCCTTATTCTGATCCGCAGCCTCCCTTTAAGCGACCAGCTGCAAGCCAGCTTTAATTGTAAGGGTATCCCCTTCCTAAATCCGCTTTCTTTTGCGCGAATTACGCTCCTTTTTCTGTGCGTTGGCCGCTTAAAGCTAGGCGACTTCAGACTCTACAAGCACCAGCCAATGCGCTATTAGCTTATTGCCTTTCTTAAGCTAATTAAGCAACTTAATAATATAAGTTAGTAATAAATTAAGGTGCTATATAATCTTTCTCTAAATTAGAGTTAATTATAACTTTAATTTAGTAGAATTACTAGGTGTTTTACACTTCTAGATAGTAGCATTATTAGTAGAGAGTATTAGCGTGCGTAATTAAACTTTAAGCTTTAATACTACTAAATCTAGGTTAAATAGAACTAAGCTAGCGTCTCTAAATTCTACTCTAATATTATTATCTATAATTAACGCGTAAAAAGTCGCGTAAAACGTAGGTAGAAACTTAGTTTTTATAATATAGTTAATATAGCTATATATTAGAATCTTAACTTAGTAGCTATATACTACCTTTAATAGTAAGAAGTAGCTAACGTTAAGTAGCTATAAAAGGTATAATAAATATACTAGTATATAGAGAGCTATAATTTTATTCTTCTTATAGTACTATTAGAATTTAATAGAGCTATAGCTTTTATAGCTATCTAAAATTAGTAAATAATATATATCTATAACGCGACTCTTAGTATACGCGTTAAAGTACTTTAACTATATAATACTAACTTTATTTATTATCTAGTTACTTTTAGAAATAGCTATAATCTAGTTATATAGTAGCTAGCTATCTTTATACTATACTAAGAAGTAGTTCTTACTTATAATAATAAGAAATAGTAGAACCTATATATTATCTACTACTCTTACTATTATAATTACTAAAATCTACTTATAATTATCTAGTTAAAAACTCTTTAGTTATAATTATCTCTTAGAGCTAGTAACTACTACTTAAGGTAATATTATTTCTATTATAAAGCTAGATTTATTAAAATTATACGTATCTTTATTAGTAATACTATACTTTACCTTTATATTATCTACTAGGTTAAACTATATCTAAATAATTATAGAATCTTCTTACTTTACTTTCTAATAGTTATACCTATAATTAAGCTATATTTTAAGCTCTAGATAGCGTATAATAAAGTAGTTTAGCTAGTTCTTATCTATAATCTTTCTTCTCTACTTAGTAAGTAGCTAATTAGCTATATCTTAAATAGTAGTAAGCTAGAGAGTAAATTCTTACGTGTTTAGGTTAAGTATATAGTTAATTATTATCTACTTTTTATTTATAGTAAGCTTTATTAAATTAGATATCTTTTTACGTCTTTAAGTTACTCTATTATATTAATAGTAGACTTTCTTCTATAGTATATTATAGAGAGCTATAGCGCGTTATAAGCTTAGCTCTAAGTTTTACTAAATAGTCTAAAGCGTAAGCTATATCTAGAATTTATCTAAAGTTAATTAGACGTTTATAGAGAGCTTTATAATTAAGATAGTAGTATTTAGTAAAAGCTTAGTATTTTTAGAGCGTTTAGTAGTATAGAGCGTTTACTAGTAAAGTATATTAATTATTAATATACTTTATAAATAAACTTTCTAAAAATACTAAGCCTCTACTAAATACTACTATCTTATTTAGATTAATATACTTTACTATTAAACTAGTTACTCTATTAAATAACTTATAATTTCTTAGTAATAAAAATTAATAAAAATTAACTTATTTTTCTTTAATAACTAAGTAATCTCTTAATAATTTTCTATAAAACTTTATATATAATATACTTAATAAATAAACTCTCTAGATAAATAAACTCTCTAAAAATACTAAGTATAAGAATTAATAAGTTTTTCTTAAATAACTAAGTAAAACCTTAATAGTTTTTAATAAAACTTTAAATATATATAGAACTATACTATATATACCTACTATTAAATTTATACTATATATTTTCTATTACGTAAGCTTAGAATAAGTCTTTATCTAAAAGTAGCTATTATAAGAGCTAGCTTTATAGTCTCTACTACTATAAGTATTCTTAAATACCTAGCTAAATAAGTTAGCTATAGATAGTACTATCTTTATAAGCTATAAGTATAAAAGGTACTAGTAGAGTAGATTAGGTTAAATTTAGCTATCTAAAGATAAGAAGTAGAGAAAAAACTCTAAAAGACTCTATATATAAAGGTGCTAAGTACTAAAATACTAGACTAGGTTATATAATAAGATTATATAATCTAAGATTATATAACTAAGGTAAATCTCTAAACTAGACTATTATATTACTCTCTCTTATAGAAAGAGCTTATTTCTAAGCTCTAAAATACGTCTTCTAGATTTCTCTTCTTCTAAAACTCTTATATTATACTCTTAACTATCTCTTTTAGCTTATAGTAAGTATATTTATATTAGTTTTAAACTAGAAGTACTTTTATAGCTACTATCTTCTCTTTAGAGAAAAAAAGACTTATAGAGACTTAAACTAGAAAACTTATTTTTACGTCTATAGAGTAGCTTTATTATAGACTCTCTTCTTAAATAACACTATAAGCTTAGCAAGATCTTAAATTACTTAGTAGCGTCTTTATATTACTTTTATATCTTCTACTCTTATAGATTTTAAATTCTCTACTATCTTCTCTAAAGTCTTCTCTTTTTTATACGTCTTAATTTAAGTATCTAATTATAATAGTAGCTCTAGCTTATCTAGATATACTATATAAAAGTCTCTTATCTTATAGAGAGTATTAATAAAGTCTATAGTATTATACTAGATAGAGTTAGAATTATAAGTAACCTATATAGTATAATATTAAAGATAATTTTAATAAAGATAGCTATCTAGAATTTTATATATAAGCTATTCTAGATTACTATTAACTTTAATAGGTAGCTACTTAGGCTCTACCTACTCTAGTAATAGCTCTAAGGCTTTTTATAACTAATTAGTATAAAAGACGTTATATATATATATATACGTAGGTAGCTAGAGCTAGAAGAAGTAACTCTTTATAGTAATAATTAAGTAAAAGCTATATATCTATTAATCTAGCTTTATACTAGACTAATTTATTAAAAAGCTATAAAGTTTAATATAGATAAGATTACTTATAGTAAAATTAGGTTTTTAGTATTTTTTATTTACTTAAAGCGCCTACCTAGCTTACGCTTTCGCGATATTATCTTATATAATTTTAGTAGCTTTTTTTATAGCGTTATATTACTTCTTAGTAAAATTCTAAGCTTTCTAGTATAAAAAACGCTTATGTAGAGTAGAGGCTTTTATTATATACTTCTTCTAATTCTAGTAGTATACTAGCTAATATCTAAATTTAATTTTATATACTATTAGTTCTATAGTTTTATATAGTAATATAGCTTATACCTAATCTATATAGAGTAGAAGGTCTAACTAATTATTCTAGTAGTAGTTAATAAATAGACGTAGATACTAATTAAGATATTAATTAATAATCTCTATATTTCTATTAGTTTATAAGTAGTATATAGTAAAGAGCTTCTACTTAATTTCTATAAGCTAGTAGAGCTTATTTATAAAGATAAAGGTAAACTATAGACTATAATTTAATATAATAGACCTAGAAGAACTATATATACGCTAGATATATTAGTAATATAGCTCTACTATACGTTAAGCTATAATTTTCTTATAGTAGAGTAGAGAAAAGCTTTACTTACTTAGCTAATTTATAATAACGTATATATAGTTAAATTCTTTCTTATTAGAGAGAAAGCTTTTAAAATCTATAAAGACGTTCTACTATACTCTCTTAGAGATAGGTAGAGGCTTTAGAAGACCTAGCGTCTTATTCTATAGAGTATAGCTCTAGTAGTAAGTCTTATATACTACTATATACGTATTAACGTCTTCTTATATATCTAGCTAGTAATATTAATCTTATAGTAGCTAGGTAGTTTTTCTTTATTCTAGGTAGATAGTTACCTAAGTAGTATATATAGCGCGTATTAGATATATTTATAGGTAGTTAATAGTAGAAACTATTAATTAATTCTAATAGGTTAATAAGCTATCTTTTATTTTCTAGGCGAAGCCTAACATAGTAGCTTTTTCTTAAGCTAGCTATAGAGAGTTATCTAATTAGTTAGCTATAATAACTTAATTAATTATAGTATATAGGTTCTTAGTAGAGAGTACCTTTATAAACGTATTAGTAGTAGTAATTTCTATAGTACTACTAGCTAATCTCTAGGTAGCTAGAACTAATAACTTACCTAATAATTACTTAATAGCTAA